CGACTCTCAACTTGGAATATGTGCGTGATCATTTAAAAATTCCAAACCATGTGACCTAGATGGCGTTTTGGAAATTCTAACTTTGATTTACCTACATATCGTGTTCATCTTAGATTAGATTAGACATTTCAAACTCCAGCGATGTGTCAAATAAATCAGAACTGGCGCCTGGATGGCACACATGGATATTGTTTACGTTTTAGCATTTGTTATATTTTTCGTTTATTCTTCCAATTAGGACCGGAATTTGTGGAGCGATAGTGTTTTCCCGAAGCAAAGCCAATAGTGAACATGCATATGCCTCAGTTTTGAAATATACCTACTGATTTCAGCAAGTACAGTTTACACCCAATGAAGCAGTGAAAACTGTTTGGAATTGCAAATGAAACTTTATTATCTTTATAACATACAATTGAAAATGCCGAATTTTCAAACCCGCCCGAAAACGTACCCCTGACGGTATCTTGTTGAAAAAAGGATCGTTAGGTGATGGAATGGGCCGATAATCGATGAAAATCCATAACGTATTCAAATAACACTTCATTCCGAGATTCTCACTGATCAGTTTACAAAATTCAACACGTGTTTCACCATACAATATCTTTCTCAGGCGCGTTAATACTGACTAAATTCTACATGATCAGTACTTCATATAAAGGATAAACCGGAACCTCTGGTGTAGAATAGATCAAAAACAAACACTTTTCCGGCCACCCTCTTAGAAGAAAATGGACCAACTAAATGTGCGTCCCACTATAAGCAATAAGCGATTACATAACGATCAAAATGCTCTTTTGTTTTGGCCGTTCCACATAACGTCCACGTTCCACGGTTCCACCGTTCCACGGTAAACGTCATTACTTTCGATCACGACAAGCTCACAATGACCCATCTGAAATCTCAAGAGGTTTCCAAAGTGGAACCATCTGAAGAGGTGGGTCAAAGTGGACGTCGAGAATATTTCAACGCAATTTTTCAAATTGTTTTCAAAATATGTCATTCACAGCTTAAAGATGATGACAAGAAAAATCTCAAAATTCTACAGTATAACATGTGATAAATAAAAAACAAAACAGTCTGTTTTTCATCACTTTTTTGTAAATAACGTTACTGCAGTGATCATTTCGCAGGTTACATCAACAATGCGTATGCTTATGAATTTTCAAGGTAAATTGGTTAAGGCTTTCATGGCAGAGATTTTCATTGTCATTGTCAATCTTCATTCTAGTGCATTCGGAAATTCTCGCGCTGTGGTCGGTAATGTTCGGCACGTTTAATTTCATACAAGCGACGAAGACATTTTACGGGTCCACGTGCCTAATCATTTCCTGACTCGTGACTTACTTTGTGATATACCTAATTTGTTTATTACAAAAATATTAAGTACCTGGGAAAGAAAGTTTTTGGCTTTCTACTATTTCATCTTGATACAAAAAATAGTGGGAATCTTCCAAAGAAAGGAAGAAAGTAATCAATTTTGAAATAAGTAACTGTATACGCAAACTGGAAGAAAAAGACTATTAATTTCACCTGCAGTCTGTAAGAAACAGCTACAGGTGCAATTAATATTTTTTTTTAAATAAGGGGTTGTTATGTTGATTATCAATAAATGAAAATGTCGAAGACTGCATAACGTTGTGATTTGAAAATGAAAAAAAAGACTGACTGAATATAATGTTTTCCTTATTTTTGCCTCAAAACATAATCCTTGTAAGGAAGTTTCGGTTTCGGCCGAAACTGAGACCGTTGCCGAAATTCGGTTTCGGTCGTAAAAACCAATTTCGGTCGGACACTACTTCATTCGGGTTTAAAGGCAGTCGTGATTTGGAACTGATTCCTAACGTTTCACCAGCACGAATGGCTGGCTTCTTCAGAGGTTTATTCATCTTGATGACTCGGTGAACCATCGGTTCTCGGTAATCTGTACAGATTATTATACCCCCAGATCAAACAATCAAAAATCAAGAAATTTGTAACTCTAATATATTTTGGTAAGAGAACAGACAATTGCGGTTTTTTTCAGAAAAAAAAATGTGGAAGTGGCATTCAGGCCACATGCCAGGTTAATATCTTATTTCCTTTTTAATGCCAAAGATAAAGTGGACAAGATGGAGGAATCTGAAGCTTACGTGTCCGGAGTGCAATAGTGGCCGAAATTTCTCAAAGCGGTATGCTGAACATGAAAGGTCCTTCAGACTAGGTGAAAATGATTCGACAATTTCAAACCATTTCTTAGAACGCAACCACAAGTTCCCGAATCTAACAGATACGAAAATTCTGCACTATGCAAACAAGGGTTGGAAACTCAATTATTTGGAATCCTTGGAAATTCATAAGCATTGAGAAATGTAACCTGTGGAATTATCAAATCGACCTAGTTTACTCACCAGTTTTGAAATGCGTATTTACCCACATTGCCCATGTAAACAAAATTCAGGTACTTGTGACACCAACACTGTTTGGAACTTTTGGAAACACGTTTGATGTTGGGAAAAAACTCCAGTAATATTCAAAATTTAGGTACTCAATTGAGTCAAGTACCCCTATTATTATGATTAATCATATATATGATTAATCATAATTGAACACATGTATGTTATGTAGAGGTTCAGGTAATTTCTTAGAGGTAGTCTCAATTATGGTTACCTGTAGTATATAAATAGTAATGTTAGGATAATTTGATGTACAAATCACTTGAAAAAGCTGATGTCTTAGCGTCTCAAATCGCGTTGAGGTGTAGTTTTTAAAATTACACATTTAAAGTTGCTTCCAAACGAGAATCTGTTGCGAGATCTTTCAAAAATAGCTCTGAAAAAAGAAAAAATCAGATTTGTTGTTCAACTTCCAAGTAGAAAAAAACTGTTAATTAACTAATAATGCATAATCAACTTGAAAATCACGATAAAAAATGTTTGACAGTGGATTATTGTTCATTCATTTATCTGGTAGGTGCCTGATATTTTTCAATTCAGACGTCACTTTTACTTTTCCTCCCTAGTGAGGAAAAGTACGACTTTGCTACCTACAATGAGGCCAGGAAATGTATACTTTGGATAGAGGTAGGCGAAAAATACTTTTTCAATAAAGGTCCTTTGAGAAAATTATAAATATTGGTCCTACAGTTTCTCTTGTTGATTTTTTTTTAATTGAAAAATGTCTAATAGTTTTTAAGATATTTGCAAAAAAACAAACTCCATTTTTTTCAGTTAATTGTGTATATTGCTAGCAGCACTCAATTTTTTCAAAAATCATCTATACGCTATTATGAATCGAATGACACCCCGTTCATATTTCGGTAGGCGGAAAAAAAGGCACTTGTGAACTAGATTATACGTTCGCTACCGTTATGGCGAATAGTGGCATGACAATTGATCATAGACCAAATCCAATAGTAGATTTATTACATTTCATTGTTATACACTTTATTACTTCGCTTTGTCAGTAAGAAACTAATATTCTTGGACAATAAAGTATACTTATCTACCTATATATTTTCTCTAACCACCTGGAAAGCTATTCATCACAGGGAACGAATTGGTATTCTTGAAACTTGAACGTATTCACAGACCTGCTATTTGATTGTTACTTGCAGTGCAATGAGTGGGTCGACGCTCATATTTGGGTCTATGTGATGATCGCAGATCAAGGAAACGTTCGCACATGAACGATTGGCAGGAGTGTGAGTGACACAAGAATAGATATTACTTCGGGGATTGATTTGACTTGGAGGAGAAACCTTATTAAGCCTTATTAAACCTTGTAAAGTTCTTCCCCCTCGACAGTTTGAGGACCGCATGACCCGTTTGTAAGTACTGATAAAATCACCCTGTCATGGTTACTCATTAGTTTTAACTTCACTTGTTTTCTGTATTGTTTATTATTGAATTTGAAAATCAATCTATCCTGCTTTATTAAGTTCAGACTGTTTCGCGTTGAAACAAGTCACAGCCTTGCAGGTTTTTCCTGACAATGATAAACTGATCCAAGCCAAGTCGATTTCAAACCGGATTTGTTTCGTCAAGAAAACAAAATGAAAACTACTTCAAATTATATAATTGAATGCATTTTACAACTGCTTGTTTCATATTTCCTGATAAGTTAATTTAATTCATGTTGCAAAATGAAATGGACAATTTAAAGTTAGGAAAGGTATACAGGCAGTTTTTTTCAGCTGATCCTACTAAAGTTATCTTCAAGATCTACAAGATCAGTTAAATTGGACAAAAGTTTCTTATTTTGGGGAACTAGAATAATCTCTTTTTAGATCGAGAATATCATTGGTTGTTTTTGAAAAATTGGCCATAAACTAGAATTGTCAAATTTAGTTTGTCAGGTAGCGGCAAAAAAACGAAATTCGACAATTCAAGTTTTTGTCAAATATTACAAAAACTACCACCGATAATCTCGATTTCGAAAGCGATTATTCTAGTTCCCCAAAATAGGAAACATATGTCCAATTTAACCGACCTTGTAGGTATCTCCTTTCTCAAAGACCAAATTGGGATCAGCTAAATAAAATGACCTGTATGATAAAAAAAGATATGAAAAAATCACTTTTTGTATCATCATTCATTGAAAGAACAATATAAAAACAAAACGGTCAGATTTTTTTATTTGAAAAGAACCAAAGAATAGGAAACAAAAATATTTTTTTTAATTTACGAAACTAAAATTTTGAAATTCTCACATGAATGCACAACTTTGTTCCAATTCAACTGTCTTCATTTCTCCTATAGTTTCTGAGATCCCAATGGTGAAAGTCGAATTTGAAATACCTGTATAGTGATGAAAACACCTTGAACTGTGTTGGCTGTTCAATTATCATATTAGTATTATCTATAATTTCTTCCAGAAACGGCTAGAAAAACATGGGTGAATATGTGACTATGTTCATTAATGAACATGGTCACACTTGCAGCCTCTTTTATGACAATAACTTATGCTCCATATAATCTTCAGGGCTGGTATGTTTGACTCTTACCTGGTATATAATACAGAAATGAAAACCATATAAATATTCTTTTATTTACCACCTTATCAATAAATGCAGAATAAAATGAAAGGAGAATGCAATTATCGCCTTTTATTTTTACGCTTCTGCTGACTCTTTTTCTGTTGATGTTGAGGTTTAACTTTGGGAGATGGTTCAACTGTTGATCCAGTGGTATCTGAAGATTCGTCTACATATTTTGAAAAATCACTGAAAACAGTTTGTATATTAATATCTTTGTTAAAAGTCACCAATGAACCACCTACTATTGTTCAGCCTGTCCAGAAGCAGTGCCCTGTGAACCTTTGATAACCTCTTTTGTTCTACGGTCCCTTTTCTTGCGATAACCAGTTCTTTCATACTTTGGTAGCCATCGTTCTGGGTCGGGTTGTACACTAGCATCATAATTTTTGGGTAACTTTCCTTTTCTTTTTTTATGTTTCCTGTTTTTTTTTGCAGAATCTTCACGGGGGGTACTACAAAAATAACATTGTATTTGTAAACTTTAATAGAAAACCTTGGCATTTCTGCAAGAATGTGTTGAGGCTATACCTTGGTAAAGACTCTAGTTTGACAGTTGACGGTTTCTTCGAGCTCACTGTGGTTACTGATAGTGTTTCTATGCTTTCCATATCAACATCTCTAGCTAACTCTTCAACAGGAATCAAGAATTTACTGAGTTTAACAGCTCTTGGTACATCAAACTATAGAGAAAAATATGCATTATTGAAAAATATTGATCAATATATCAAATCCTTAATTCGATAAAACAAATTTCAGTGAAGAACAACTTCAACGCGAACATAATTCATCACATCCTTAACAAAAAACTATTCAGGCTATTAACCAAGTATACCCTCACATTAAAATAATATCGACACCTACAAAACAGTCACCTACAAAATGAAAAGACTGCTTACTAAACAGAACATTAACATAGTCTACAAGACTGTCAAAACCTTATTAGGTAGACATATAAAGAATAAGTCAAATATTTTATATAGGAAGAACCTCTAGAAATTTCAAAATGAGAATTTCAGAATACAAAAGGGGTATTGAAATAAAAAAGACGAATGCTCGCCACCTTTTAGAAAATTACCACGATTTTAATCAAGAAGTCATTTAAGTTATTTTCATGAAATTCTGATAATGAATTTTCATTACCCACTCTTTTTGAATTTTACCTGGATACCTAAAACTAATATTTTATGGAATTAACTTTTTCTTAAAACCTTCCTGTTTACCTTGAATTACCACTAATAACAAGGGTAACTAGCCTTGTTAAAAATGTATTGTGAATAGTTGAATGAATGGGAAAGTTAATTGTACCTGTTCAACTGGGGAAGCTACTGAGTAGCGAAACGCGTCTTTAGTAGTTATTAGTGTGAGCATTTTTTATAATGAACAAATTCATTAGAAAAATCTTTGAAGTGCATTCATTCATTCATTGAGCAACTTAGTCAGAAAACAAAAATAATTAACACAACCCAACACAATTGATACTATTACCAATAACTTTAGACAATATATCAGGTTGACTTCAATATTATGTATTCATTCAAAAATAGTCGGATGCACTTCCAAATACATTCTTTAAAATATTCTATCCCCTAAACTTCCACGAATTGAAGATCTTTTGGTCTGTCTACCAAAAGTCAAATCAAAACCAACAAGTCTTTGTTTTTGTTAGTGTACTGTGTGATATCGACTGCAGTATTAATGTAATCTGTAACATGCTAGCTGTAACAATTTCAGGTGAATTTGGAGATACGATAAAAATGATATCTCCTTATCAACAAAATTTTTGAATGAACAATCAATACATAACAAAATTGTCAAACTTTTTAGGGAGACATCTGTTTCTCCTATCAGATGTTCTCTCTATGTTTCTGATAGCACATTCACTAGTTATTTTCACCATCAATATACTCCATTTCTCTTTTCAGATATTCACGAAAAATTGCTTCGTTCTATTTGAATGTTCTTCGCCTTTGTCACTTATCACTCTCTATATATCTATTTCGTAATCAACAGTGTTTCTTAAAACTAAGTGTNGAAATTATTTATTATTTCCGAAACAATTTGGGATATTTTATTGATATTTGGTGAGCACTCACAGTTAATAATAGTCCATATTATTCAATAAAAAAAATATTTGCAGCTTCAACAATTTGTGGTAAAAAGTTCGTCTTAAATTTTTTTTCCTACAATACGTTGTTTTTAAATTCCCTAATTCAACAGTGGAATGCGTTCAGCTATTAACTTCAATCTTTTCTAACGGAACATTGAATGTTTGTTCCCACGTTACCAAATCAAAATCATTTTTGATTTCCCCGCTCAATTCTAAACAAGAGAGCTCTCTTGAGTTTTTTCTGTGATATGCAATTTTTGAGTAAAGATATTGTAAGTATTGTATTGTCCAAAAATTATTGAAGTACTGTAATCAACTCGATCTTACTTCAGCTTTTGATTTAAACTTCTTGTCGTCAGTAAACAATAAGTCTAGTTGCTTTTTATATCTGATATTTCTTATAAGTGTGGGTCATTGAAATCTATTCGCTGTGAATTATCTTCTTCATTATTACGTTTTCACAGTTCAATACAAATCAATAATGATAAATTATTCGAATTCGGAATTGTAGATATGCATTAAGTATATGATCTAGCTGACGGTAATGGAGAGCAAGCTAGATGCATTTATCACCACATATTATATCCAAACCGTACTTTGCCAGATAGTTGAACCTTTTCCAATATTCATCATCGTCATGATGGTGCACCAGCATATTTTAGTGTAGTGGTTCGCAATTATTTGCAAAGGTTTAAACGGTTTACCCAAATCCTTGTATTGGCCGCACTGGGCTTCAAGAATGGCCAATAAGGTCTACAGACCTCGATAGCCTAAATTTATTTTTATGGGACAACTAAAGACGCTGAATAAAAAAAAAAATTGCCTGAGTGCGAAATTACATAAGAAGGAGAGCATAAGCATGCATCTTAAGTGAAGGGAGACATTTTCAACAATTTCAGTAACAATAGTTACAAGTTAGTTATGTTTGAGTTGCTAGTAGGTAGGTCTAAAGTGAGTGGGTTTATTCGACCCTCAACCGCAACCCATAAGGGTTTATTGTGGCTCACACCTATTCACACTCGGCCAAATAAACCCAGCTTCTTAACGAAGCCGATTGGTTTGTATGGTGAGTGGTCGTTCAGGTTAGATGGTAAGAGTACGGATCTGC